CATCCCCCCCCCCACCATTTATAGGAAAATATTTGGCACGACCTATTCAGATGGCTTTGGCCAAAGAGAAGGCTGTAGTAAAGGAAACAAAGAAGTTGTTGGATGTGTGAGTGAACACCTCCAAATCCAGAAACAATTCCAATCCTGCCAGGGCTACTTCATGTTCTCATTAAGGCACCTTGAAGTCTCACAGGGAGGACAGTGCTTCTGATATTCTAGACATCACTGCTAGTTTCTTACACTGCTAGTAAACAAGTCAGTGTCAACTAGAAGAAACATACCTGAAAGCTGGGCACCAGTGGCTCACACCTGAAATTGTAGCTACTCAGGTGGTTGAGATCCGAGGATCTCAGTTCAAACTAGCCTACACAGAGAAGTCTACAAAACCTCATCTTCAATTACGCAGCAAAAATGCCTGGAGTCATAGGGCATATGGTAGAGCACCAGCCATTAGTGAAAGAGCCAAGTGTGAGAACCAGGCTCTGAGATTAAGCTCTAGTACCACCACAATAAAAAGGGGGTGAGATAAACCCTACCTAGTGATTTCTTCAGTGAAATGTGAATGCATAAGAGCTAGGAAATATCTGTGTGGGTAAAGAAGTTAGTCATTTGTCACAGGACCAAATCCAGTAAGGTCTTTTTCAGTAAATAAGGTTATGAATCCTTACAGGATGCTATTAAGGGTTTAAAGTGAGATTCTCATTACATCTTTTTTAGAAGTTTACAGATTTATTGGTAATAAATTGCTTCTGCAGTCATGACTGGGAGATGATCTATTCCAGTTCCAAAGACTGCACTCATTCTACCATCTGTTCCCTTGGTTCAACATCCTGATTGCTTTGCATGCTACCCATAGTGTGGTTCTCTCCTATCTTATGAATAGATTTTTCCCTCCAAGTTTCCTTATTTCATATAACCAGAGGCCAAAGCATTCAATACTCCAAATAAGCCTTTACATAGGTAGACATAAAGTAGTTTCCCCTAAGGAAAGTTTCTAATAGGTTCTTGGCACTCACCCTTGCCAGTAAGTGGGATGCTACTTATATGGACTTTGACGCTAACCTGTAAGGTGGGGAAATTTAAATCTTGTAGCCCATTAGACCTCCCAGCTCAGAACTGTTAAACCAACTCTCTGGAAGGCAGGTGAGAATATTAATGGTAACTGATACCAATTAACCTGGGACAAAATTTAGCATTAGTTCTGTCCAAGTTGAGGTTTGTGTGTGGTGCTGAAAACAAAATCCAATGTTGTGCCTATCACACCCTTGATTTCACTCCTACACAATTTAGCTAAAGGGCTGGAATAGATCACTTGGTAGAACATGTGTTTAGCAGAAAGCCCTCAGTTGAATCCCTAGATAGAATCCAATATCATTCTCTATTCTCGACTCCAAAATGTTGGTTTGCAGACATCCTGAATGATGGACAGTAAACCTTGGCTACTTAAAGGTTTTCTGATTTTCATGTTTAGTGGGTCCTCAGGTTCCTATGGCTTTGTTACAAGGCAAACTACAACACTGGATGTCTCTTGCAGCCAACAATGATTATTAATCACATCATGCCCTGAACAGGAATAACGACTACTAGTGCTAGAATACTGTTGACCTTCTTTAATATGTGGACTTACACCATTTGATCTGTCTTTTTTTTTAAGTCTGGGTCTGGGCACTGTTCCTCAGCTCTTCAGCTCAAGGCAATCATTCTAGCACTTGAGCCACAGTTCCACTTCTGGCCTTCTGGTGGTTTATTGGAGATACGATTCTCATGGACTTTCCTGTCTGGGCTGGCTTTCAACCACGATCTCAGCTTCCTGTGTAACTAGGGTTACAGGCATGAGCCACCACTGCCCAGCATATTTGGTTCTTGAAGACACATATAAAAAAGTGTACTTTAGCTTCTGGCTATATTCTGTTGACTGTCATACTGGTCTCCCTGATGTGCCTGAATGCCCTGAATGCCCTCAAGACAGGAAAAGTGAATGCAGCCACACTTTTGTGTATCAAATGGCCAACAGACACGTGTAGAAAGCATAAGGAATTACTCAGCTGCTTTGCCATTACAAACTATGCATTTCATATTGAAGCAAAATGGATCAGTTATTCCAATGAAAATGCTGTCAATGCTTAAGGTTTTAGTCAAAATTAAAGCTGACCAAAAGGGGCACTATCATTGATAGCCTAAAGCTGCCTCACAGGCCTGTGAATACAGGGGTCTGTAACCACCTTATGTCAACAAACTGCAGCCTGGGAATATTCTGCGAAGAAGGAGCTGAGCAGTCAGGCAGCCATCTCATCCCAGGCTGCATGCTGCCCAGAAATGCGCAAAGGCGGCAAACTTACAGTTTCTCTATGTCACCTTTTTGTTGTCCATAGGCACTGTGTGAGAAGACTCTTGAGTGAATAGTTGTTAGTTCAAGTGTTGTCTACCATCTAAACCTTATTTTTGTGCAAAGAAACTGATAATTTGCCTTATTAAAAAATTTAATTCGAGGCTGGGAAGGTGGCTCAGTGGTAGATCACTTGCCTTGCATGCCTGAGGCCCTGCGTTTGATTCCCCAGCACCACATAAGCAAAAAGAAAAAAAAGCTGGAAGTGGCACTGTGGCTCAAGTGGTAGAGTACTAGTCTTGAGCTGAAGAGCTGAGGGACATCACCCAGGCCGAGTTCAGGCCGCAGGACCAGACCCGCTCCCCGCAAAATTAAATAAGAGCTACTAGATGGCTTTCACAGAAAATTTTTTGAATCCTTTATGGAAAAATCATTTCCAATTCACCTGTGAAGTGTAACTGTTTCTGACTGTACTGCTGCTCCAAAGATAGGCGCCCCCAGCCCTAGAAGGAACAGGACAAGACTGTGGAGCAAGTGTAGGCACAGGCACACAGTAAGCACTTAGTATAGGATAAAGTCAGAGTTCTGGCTCCACTGTGTCATGTCTTCTAAGGACTTCCAAGAGCCGGCATACAAGTGCCAGCCCCACCAAGCACCTACACAGACTTCTTTCCTCTTCTCTGTACCTCCATCAAAACATTCTAACAAAGAATTCTGCCTCAGACTCCAGAGATGCTCAATGACCAGAAGTGATTTTTCTCCCCAAGACTCCAGCTTCTATATCCAAGGATCATAATCACCAAGTGATAAGAGTGAGCTTTTAACAAACAATGCAGGTGTAGTTTAGGGAGTTGGCAAAAGGCAAGTCTACCCTTGTCCATTGTGCTACCAAAAGCTGAAGAGGTGGTTAAACGTGCACTGTGAGACAGACTGAGATTGGAAGAAGAGTTAGCATTGTCCAAAAAGAAATGTGCTCATTACTTGACAGATGAAACTACCACCAGACCTCTGTCCATCACCTTTATAAAAAATAAAGTTGGGAAGTAAAACTGTCTTGTGGGTAGCGAGATTAATCAGATTCAGGAGTCACTTTCCTTTTGCACATTATTTCCCTAGCTGCAAAATTTAGCAGTTGGCCTCATTTTTAGCCAGATCGCCATAAAGAAATCCCACAAAAGGCAGGCTTGTGTTTGTAAGTTGGAGGCGGAGCGCTTCGTATCTTGTGCCTCCATCCAGCACCGAGGAGAGTTTGCTGCAGTTGGAACACATCAGGAAAATCAACTTCGCAGTGGGTTGTAACCCTTCCTGATCAGAATTATGCCCCGTGTTAGACAGAGTGGATGCCCGTGCGCAGGAGGTGAAGGGAGCAGTCAAGCGTTAGCGCAGGGAAGACACCGGCTCGCGCCCAGCTCTCTGCTCTCCGCTCTCGGGGGTCGCAGCCTCAGCTCTCAACAGCCCCAGGAAGGCCAGATACAGGGCCGCGGTGGTGAACCAGCAAAGCGGGCGCTGGCCGCGGCTGCTCCGCCCGGAGCCCTCCAACGTCTCCCTCTTCGTGGCATTCTCTGCCCAGGCCTTGGACTGGTGCGGCCGCTGCCCCGCAGGCCCGGCCCCACGGAAGTCCGCTTCCAGCTCCACCTTGGCCACCCCGCAGAACGCTCGAGCTGCCCACGGGACCGAACTCCCGTCCCTCCGGCCCAGACGTCCCTCCAGATAACCACTCCCCCAGGAGCTGGACGCAGGCAGGGCCTGGCAAAGCTGGACTTCGGACTTGGGACTCCGCCGAGGCTGGCGGTGGAGCCAACTAGCAACTGGCAACGCCCAGACACCCGTGCCAAGCTGGTAAAGGTAGATTTATTATAGGACACACCCTGAGTTCAGAGGACTTAGAATGTGACTGTATCATGAAATGCAGCATTTTAACAGACCCTTATTGAGAAAATCACAAATAACACGATAAACATTATATACATTGAATTAGAGCATATTAATAATCACTAGCAAATTCCTAAAGCTCTTTGTTTCTCTTTCCCTACTCAGTTGACATGAAGAAGGAACTGGCAATCACATTAATTCCTAGAGGATATCTCAGAGAAACTATGAAAATGAGAGATTTTCAATTTAGAAATCAGTTCTTGAGTCACAGGTGAGGTCTTTGTTAAGTGCATCTGTGTTGCTGGAAAGCTGAGTCTTGTTTTGAAGCCAGTTCTCTTTGGCACTGCACGGTGTCCTCTTCATAGAGCAGAAATACTCAAAAGACAGATTAGCATCCTCTGGTTCAGCCTACAGAGAAAGAAAAGCATTAAGCAAAGCATGTGAGCTTTCCAAGGATGCCCTTTCCTAGAACTGCCCTCCCTACTGTTCAAGCCCAGTGTGGAAGCTTGACAATTTGGTCAGCAAACTGTTTCACAGGTTTGTGTTGTTTCTCCTAAATCAGAATACTACCCAACTTCTGAAAAACAAAAGTCTAGCTCAGCAGAAAGGAGGCTGAGAACAGGAGGATCACAAGTTTGAGACTCAATTGAAATACATAGTGAATTCCAGACCAAGGTGGGAAAGATAACCAAACTCTGTCTCAAATTAAGAAACAACAAGAAACTCAAATGCCTGAAAACCACTCTGAAAGGGGGAGATCATGGAACATCCACTTAATCAAGCTCTTACCAAATATGAGCCTCAGAACAAACTCCTACTGCATGTAAACATGGTATATTTAAAAAATGCTCTGGATTCAGAGCATTTTGAACCTTTTTACCATGAGCTCTAAATGGACCGAGAAAATGTTTTTTTCTCATGGGGCCTGAACTCAAGGCCTGAATGCTTTCCTTGAGCTCTTTTTCTCAAATCTATTGCTCTACTACTTTGAGCCACAGCCCTACTTCCAGTTTTCTGCTGTCTAAGTGGAGATAAGAGTCTCAGGAAGCCTGGTCGGCAGGGGTGTTGGGGTGTTGGCAGAGTAGGGGGGGCGGTGGCTTATTCCCCTAATCCTAGCTCCTAAGGGGGCTGAGATCTGAGGATCTCAGTTCAACACCAGCCTGGACAGGAAAGTCTGTGAGAGTCTTATCTCCAATAAAACACCAGAAAACTGGAACTGATACTGTGGCTCAAGTTAGAGTGCTTGCCTTGGCCTGAAGACAGTGCCCAGGCACAGAGTTCAAGCCTTTTGAAATACAACAACAACAACAACAAAATGTTTCATGGGGGGCTGGGAAGGTGGCTCAGTGGTAGAGCACATGCCTTGGGCTGAAAAGCTGAGGGACAGTGCGCAGGCCAGAGTTCAGGCCCCAGGACCAGACCCAAAAAAAACAAAATGTCTCATGGACTTTCTTTCCCTGGCTGGCTTTAAAGCACAATCCTTAGATCTCAGCCTCCTGAGTAACTAGGATGACAGTCATGAACCACCAGTGCCCAGCTCAACCTAGAAAATCTGATCCCCAAGTGTGCTGAAAATCTGCTTATGCTCTGCTCTGGCCTAACAACTTAACAATAACAATACAATTATGTTAATTTTTGAAAATCAGGAATTACCTATCTACTCTGAGTATTATGTTGTTCCCTTTTATCCTGGAGCTTTGTGGCAGAGGACCAGCATTAACTGAAATGGATGCATTCACCAATGCACTGAAGAGGAATTGGTCTGCAATCTCACTGTGGGGCCATCAACATATGACTAGATGTCTGCATTACATAAGGCCTCATTGTTCCACTCATTTCAACCAGTTCAAAAGCCATTTGTGAGCTGAACTCTTAGATTAGGGGGAGGATTTAGGGAGTCCTTGGATTCAAACCAGTACTGAAAAAGACAGAGAGAGAGAGACAAAGAGAGAGAGAGGCAGAGAGATAGAGAGACAGAGAGAGACAAAGACAGAGAGACAGACAGAGAAATAAATGAAAGGAGGGAGGGAGGTGGAAAGAAAGAAGGGAGGAAGGAAAAGAGGAAGGAATGAAGGAAGGGAGGGAAGGAGGATGGGAGAAAAGGAGGAAGAGAGGAAGGGAAGAAGGAAGCAAGGAAGCAATGAAGGGGGGAGGGAATGAAACAATTTCATTTTATTTTTCTGAATCATATTTTCATTCTTGTCTTCATAGTCCAGAACACTCACCTTTTCTGTTTCCTTTTCGCAGAGGCAAGGTAGCTACTTTATACATCATAGGAAATAAAACAGCAGTGAAAATTGCAGACCCAAAACAGGCATACAGAACTACTGGTAGAACTGGATATTGTCCTTGAAGAACTCCGGTTAATGCAGGAATAGCCATTAGTCCCAAGGCAGCACCAATCATAATAAATGCAGCAGATTTGCCACTGATGGTGGTGTACTGTTGCATCCAAGGAAAAACACTGGGATATGGGGTGGCCATGGAGGCCCCATAAACCGAGGTTGCTATCCAGAGACAAAGGGGGCTCCTGTCAAAAAGCACCAGAAACAAACAGGAGGCCAGGCTGCCAATGTTGCTCAACACAATCATAGTGGCAGGGCTTAAACACCTAGCAAAAAGCATTGCCAGGCCCCTGCAGGCTGTGAAGGTCCCCCAGAAGATGGAGTTCAAGCCAGCTGCCTCTCCCTCCTCCATGCCAACATGGGTGGTGACAAAGGAGAAAAGGTAAGAAGTGTATGTCACCTGAGCCCCAACGTAGAAGAAGGACAACAGAAAAAGCAGACAGAGAAGGGTCTTGTGGTATTGAGCTCTTCGAGATTGCTGAGCAGATGCTGTTGATTTTCCCTGCCTAGAGCTTTTCATGCAGAACAGAGCAAAGAAATGGAGAGAAACTACAAGAATGTAAGTGCCTAAGGAAGCATAAGCCCACAGTAAGTTCATGTCATGGGGAGCTGCGAGTAGAGGGTCTGAGGCGGCTTCAGAAGAGGCATTGAGGGCTGCAGGGAGAAAGTCGGTTTCTGTGTGGTTGTCAGCAGACTCTGTGGGGCCCAGCGCCAGTTTAGCCAGCAGGGGTGCCAGGAAGGCACCCAGGGCAAAATTGAACTGTAAGGCCTGCATGTGGCTGGGGCTCTTGTCCCCCCAAAGAGCCAAGATGATCACTTTCCCACCTAGCAAAGAGACACAGAGAAAGTTTTAAGTTATACACAGAACTTAGTAACACTGGCCCTGAGTAACTTCTGTGTCTCAGCAGCCCTAAGCCACCACCCCCACCCCCAGACAACAAAGTTCTTACAGCCAGGCTCAGTACTAAGGCTTGTTATAAAACAGTTCCAACTCTGATCAGATGCTGGTGGCTCACACCGCTAATCCTAGCTACTCAGGAGGCTCAGATCTGAAGGTTATGGATTTGTAGGCAGCCCCAGCAGGAAAGTCAGTGAGAGTCCAACAAACCACTAGAAAACAGGAAGTGAAGCTGTGGCTCAAAATGACAGAATACTAGCCTTTAGCAAAGAAGCTCAGGGACAGTGCCCATACCTTGAGTGCAAACAAACAAGAACAAAAAGTAAATAAACAAAAGTACTGTCAATTCCACATTGGAGACTAATATTATTATATCTACTTGTATATTTTAAAGACTTATACATATTTGCCAGGCAAATTAAATAGTGAGCAAATCATCAAAGGGTGTCATATGGGTAGGCCATTGAAGAGTTTATATTTTATGTAAAAGGCAGATTCAAACTATCCTGGCAGGACTTGATTACAGGAATCTGTTGAACTCATAACAGACTAGAATATCAAGTTTTCTGTACTTAGATTTCAGATATGCAAATATTTCCCCCTGGAATTTTATAGTCAAACAAAATCTGAAAGATAAAATATGTCCATAGTCTGACAATGAGCATGCAAGGAGGGTAGAATTAAAGGATAAAGAGCTATCACATGTGTCATTTAGTCACATTTTGAAGATGGGTGGAGAATAGGAACTTTAGATGGTAAAACAAAAAAGAGTAGAAAAGAAATAGGAAAGTTGTGCCAGGAGTCTCTAAGCTTAAAACCAGGTGGCTGTCTCTATGCTTGTACAGCCAAATAGTGGTTCCACATTTATTTCAGCTATCAAACCATCATTATCTCTCTCACTCTCTCTCTTTTTTTTTTTTTTGGTCAGTGGTGGGGCTTGACCTCTGGGCCTGGGCGCTGTCCCTGAGCAATTCAGCTAAAGGTAAGTGCTCTACCAATTGAGCCACAGCACCACTTCCCGTTTTCCGGTGGTTAGTGAGAGATAAGAGTCTCATGGACTTTCCTACCTGGGCTGGCTTTGAACCATGATCCTCAGATCTCAGCCTCCTGACTAGCTAAGATTATAGGCGTGAGCCACGGGTGTCCAGTTCCATCATTGTCTCTTATACCACAATGATAAAGATTGATCTCAAAATGATAGATTGATCACCTTTGTTTAATTACCCATAGGTAGAGTGATTGGATTTTTATTTTACTTTATTTTATTTTTATGTACTATTTTTATTTTGTACTAGTGCTGGGACTTGAAATCAGGATGTACACACAGTTGTTTAACTTTTTTGCTCAAGGCTGTCACTCTACCATCTGAACCACACTTCCAACTTCCAGCTTTTTGCTGGCTAATTGGAGATAAGAATCTCACAGACTTTACTGTGCTGATTTTGAACTATGTTCCTCAGATCTTAACCTCCGGAGAAGTTAGGATTATGGGCATGAGCCATCAGCAACTTACAATATTTTAAATGAACAATCTTTCAGAGCTTTCAACGATGTTCAAAATTCCACTAACCTGTATCCAGAACACCAAATGAGACACCCATGGCAGACATCATGACAATCAGCAACAGTGCAGTCTTGCAAAATGGAATAAGATAAGTACTCACAGTCATGACCCACATGGACAGCCCTGCAAAGGAGAGTCAAACGTCAGCTATAAAAGCAGCATTTGGGCTGGGAATGTGGCTTAGTGGCTTGCATAGCATGCATGAAGCCCTGGGTTTGATTTCACAGTACCACATAAACAGAAAAATCTCAAAGTGGCACCATGGCTCAAGGGGTAGAGTGCTAGCCTTGAGTACAAGAAGATTAGGGATAATGCCCAGTAACTGAGTTCAGGCCCAGGAATGGCAAAATAAATTAATAGCTAATAATGGTGCTAATTAATGAATTAAACCAGCATTCCTCCAGGGTAATGAGTCAAGCCCATATCATTAAAGCTTCCAAGAGATTCATGAAAGCAGCTTTTCTTTTAGGGTAATGACAGCTTAGAATTAAAGCTGTTATTTTTTTCTGCTTGATGTATATTTAGACTATTAATTATGTATTCAATATGTCATGAGCAAACTGAGTTAAGGCGTAACGATTAATGGATGAAGAAAGTCACACCTCTAAATAATAAAATAATTTTTTTAAAAAGCTTCCAAAACACAAAGTAAGTTCAAGTTAACTCTAAGTGGTCATATCATTAAAATATTTTAAGATCTTTGTGTAGTATTAAATCTATATATGATACCACTAAGCAAATCTTTATCACAGAAGAGACAATTTATTTACTTAAATAGTTTACATTTAAGAACCCAAAAGAGCCAGTCATTAGTGACTCAGGCCTGTAATCCTAGCTACACAGGAGGCTAAAATCTGAGGATCATAGTCATGAGTTCAAGCCCAAAGACTGGAAAACAAAGAACCAAAAGGGACTTTTAAATATGGTACAACTAATATAATAGTGTTTAGTAAATCAGAATAAATTGTTTTGGCAAATAGTGAAGCAATTCAAGGCACATTTACTATTATGCTGGAGATGTAATTCAGTGATAGACCTCTTAGGGAGCATATGGGGGCTCTGAGTGGGATTATCAAGATGACAAAAACATTACACACACACACACACACACACACACACACACACACGTGTGCATATCTTTGAAAGCTACTTTAGAAATAAGAAGGATACTTTATTTAATTATCAGTAAATGTAGATTATTCTCCTTGCTTCCAAAGGTGCTTTGTCAGATGGATCCAGATTTCCTTGAAACCCATGGCCCTGTTCAAACCACAGCATGCTAAAAAGAGATGCCAGGGGCTTGGAGGTGGCTCAGGGGTAGAGTGCTTGCCTTGTATGCATGAGGCCCTGGGTTTGATTCCTCAGCACCACATAAGCAGAAAAAGCTAGAAGTGGAGCTATGGCTCAAGTGGTAGAGTGCTAGCCTTGAGCAGAAGAGCTGAGGGACAGCGCCCAGGCCCAGAGTTCAGGCCTCATGACTGACAAAATTAAATTAAAATAAAACAAAATAAAAAGCGATGCTAGTCACCACAGGCTGCAGCATAGCGCTCTGGGCTCATCACTAACATGGAGACAAATGTGCGGCCTGTGTCAGTTTGTCACCATCTACTGCCCCACACTGTCAACCCGGAGTCCAGAGAGCCTGGCCACATTCCCACAGCTCATCTGGCTCCAGGTAGCCCTAGAGACCTGCCCTACACCCGATGTGCAGAGCTTTGGGACAAGTGTGTGACATGGTGCCTCAGTTCCCCTGGAGGTCGGGAGGCTCAGGACTGCCATCAGCACATCTGAGGGCTAAGCAAGGCTCCGGGTGGCCCAGCCCAGATGCCCTGTGGCTGCCAAGGTGAGAGCCACGGAGAAAGACCTGGCTTCTGAGGAGGACCCTGAAATACCATTCATTTCAGTTGTCAACAAGTTTTCTTATTGTAAATATGAAGTTGTAAATTCACTGACAGGTACAAAGAAACAAAGATCATTGTTTCCTTACCCAGAAGTAAAAACTGATTCATACAGTCCAAAAGAACTCCTCCGATCAAAGAGCCACACATATATCCTAGAGCACGACCCACAAATATTTCAGAAAGACTGCTGATATTGCGGTTCACGTTAGTGGCCAGATCTTGAAACGTGGGTCCCAGTATAGAAGTAGCTATTCCCTGAAATATTAAAAAAAAAAAAGCCAAAAATGTTTGCTTATCAAAACAATATGCATCTAGTTCACATCCATTACAGAAAAATGGGCAGATGATACAAAGCAAAGTAGAGAATGAAGTCAAGACCCTGTGACACTAAAGTGTCTCCATCTCATAATCAGTCACCCTTTTGTACTTATATTTCCTTGTTCTTATAGTTGCTGGAATTGTTTGCTTCTAGAATTCAAGAGGCAACTGTCACCTGTGTTGTTTGTCACCAGCCAGCTGTGTCAGTGGTAGGAGTACTTACTTAGGACTTAAAGAACATCCCTTTGGGGCTTGTTGACAACAAGTTCCCAAGTGGGATCTTTCCACTGACAGAATGCTGTCTAGCTTCTTTAAATCAGCCAATCACAAACAGAATGTGAGCTGGACTCCTATTGGTAGGAGGGAGGGCACCACTCTTTGTATTAGCATAAAAACCAAGGGGGCTGGGTCTACCTGCCTAACTCTGGGTAGAGTGCCTATGCACCCTTCTGTGCAGAAGTGAATTGACTGGACTAAATCTCCTTGTCTCTTGAGTGTCCTGAGTGACTCCGGAGGATTCCCTACTTGTAAGAGCCCACAGGAAGAAAAACACATACAGTGACACTCCTGTCATCACCAGAGCTGTAGACTCCAACTGCTTTCCTTCTCATCAAAATTTTTAATTTCATCAGGTTGTGGTGGTGCATGCCTGAATTCCATTGCTTAGGCAGCAGGATGATCACAAGTTCAAGGCCTCCCTGGACTAAAATAGCAAAACACAGACTCCAAAAACAAAACAAAAAAAACCTCTGCCTGTTTCAAAACTGTTTTATTTCTAGTAGCATTTTGTTGTAGTTAGTTCACTATTTGAATATTACCTTGAAAGACTACTTTGAAAATAGGAATTTTATACAACAATTTCAAGACTGGAAGGAGGAGGAGAAATAAGAGGAAGAAGAAGAGGAAGAAAAAGAAGAAAAGAGTGTATTGAAAGTTAGTAAGTAGCTGCCTGGGAATGTCAGTCAGTGATATAGCATCTGCCCACCTTGCCTGAGTTCCTGTATTCAATCTAGCAATGCAAAAATCAAAATAAATGAATTTATGTGTTTATTTATCACATGTGTATTGCATAATGTTTCATTAACTTTATGACAATAAAGCTATTCTTGAGGTCATTTTTAAATTCTCAGCACACCACACGCCCTACTGTCCTTTCTTCCTCCTTTCTTTCTTCCTCCCTCCTCTTCCCCTTCTCTTCCCTTCAGCTGTTTCAACTCAGGGCCTAGGCCCATCATCCCTGAGCTTTTTCTCTCTAGGTTAGCTCTCTACCATGAGCCACAGCTCAACTTGCATCTTTTCAGTTGTTCATTGAAGATAAGATTCTCACAGACTTCCTTCAAGGGCTGGCTTCTTCCATCCTCAGATACCAGCTTTCAGAATAGCTAGGGTTATAAGTGTGAGCCACCCACCCTGGCTAATTATTCCTTGGAAGACTGACATTGGCTATGAGGACTGAAGTTACCCTCCAGAGACTCCCAGGAGAACCAGCGATGGAATATTTAGAATGGACCAACCAGGGCCTCTTGTGCCTGCCAGTCTCTCAGGGCACCTGGGGGTCATGAGAGAGCAATCTCTTCCATTGGAGTGTCACAAATTTGGGTTTTGAGCTCTCTGGGGCTGAACTAAATCCAGGATCACACTGAATTTGATGATCAACTGGCTCTTATCCAGTCAGAGACCCCCTATGAAAATAGATTCCTCCAAATCTAAGGCGCCCACTTGCTCAGGCTCCTGCTAACTTGACTCACAAAAATTATGGACCCAGAATAGGTGTGTGTCTAGAAACACAGGGTAGCCTTATTCTGCACACACAGACCTGAAAACCTTAGAGAAGGAGAGAGATCACCAACCCTTGTGGGAGAAGATGTGGGTCCCAGGGGAGCTGAGGGGTCTTTAGATGGATCAGGTCCTTAGATGGAGGGCCTGTGAAGAGCACTGAGAGGGAACTGAGCGAGATAACCCTAAGTCTCAGCCAGCCAGGCCAAAGGGCAAGGCGGGACTGAGGAGCTGGGGCTCAGCTAGGGGAAGAGATAGATCCTGATGGCTTCCCACAGGCCAGCAGGCCTCCTGTCCCCCTGATTACAAATGCCTCAAAGAAAGGAAAATAGAAATGCTTATATAACTGAGGAATTCTCTCTCTCAAAAAGAAAATTTAAAGGGCTGGGATGTAGTTCAGTGGCAAAGCACTTCTCTATCAAGTGCCACATCCTGGGTTAGATTCCCAGTAACTAAAAAGAAAAAGTCCAAAAAAAATACGAAGCAGAAGCAGAAGCAGAAGCAGAAGCAGAAGCAGAAGCAGAAGCAGAAGAAGAAGAAGAAGAAGAAGAAGAAGAAGAAGAAGAAGAGAAGGAGGAGGAGGAGCAGGAGGCAGAGAAGTAAAAGACCCACCACAACCAGCAGCACCACCACCTATATTAATTTCAAATTTATTTGCCTTGGGTAGTCTTTGGTTAATAAAAATATATTAGCTTACTATTAAAAGGCATGTCTCCACAAGATGTAATACAACCAGAAATGTTCCTGATAAAGTACGCTTGTTTTAACTCCATTATACCAAATGTATCAGCAAGAATAATTGATGATGACTAGCTGTTCAAGATCTGCTCTTTATAAATGATCCAAAATAAATATTAGAGATCAAGTGAATTAAGTAGATGTAAAAAGATGTTATTCCTAGAGTACAATGTTTTATTATTCTTATCAGGAATTAAAAGTTGGGACTGAGGGAAATCGGTGCAACTCATCTTTTGGTTTTTCTTCTTCTACTTTTTTTTTCTTTCTTCCTGGGGCTTGAACTCTGGCCTGGCACTGTCCCTGAGTTTTTGTGCTTAAAACTAACACTCTCCCTCTTTGAGCCACAGTGCCACTTCCAGCTTTTGGGGGTAAGTGGAGATAAGCATCTCATGGATGCCCAGGCCTGGGCTGGCTTTGAACAGTGACCCTCAGATCTCAGCCCCATGAGTAGCTAGCATTACAAGTGTGAGCAAGCAGTGCCCACCCAATTTATACTTTAATTCTTATGGCCATATAAACCAATCTATCAAGACCTGAGAGTACACTAATAAAATTTTTCTTCTTCTACAGTTGGTCGTTCCAGAGCCTAATGCTATTTGGAAGTGTTAGTGCACGTGTGTGGCACACTAAGGAATTTCCCTGGCCTTGAGCAGCTCTGATCCAGAGATCTGTCCTCTGCACATTACCAGTGTGGCATTCCCCAGGGCTTGTTTGCTAGTGTACACTTGAAATTGGCATCACCAAAGATTAAGGTTTTAAATTAATAGAAGAAACTGATGTCACTAGAAATAGGAAGGGGGAGCTCTGAACGCAACTATACAGGAATGTGGAAGGTGATTTTGGTAATACTATAAGCTATGAAGGTATTTGATTAAGAGTAAAGGGACTAATTCTTGTTCTAAAGTAGAAAGACTGGTGTTCTCAAATGAGAAGAGGAAAGAACAGGACAAAGTCCGGATGGATAAGAGCATTGTATAATCCTGAGTTTGGTGTTCAAGGATATTCATAAAAAAGACCATGAACTACAGGGTTCTTTTTGTTGTTGTTGTTGGTTGTGGGGCTTAAACTCTGGGCCTGGGCAATGTCTCTGAGCTCTTCAGCTCAAGGCTAGCACTCTAACACCTGAGCCAGAGTTCCACTTCCTGTTTTCCAGTGGCTAATTGGAAATAAAAGCCTCACAGACTTTCCTGCCTGGGCTGGCTTTGAACAGCCATCCTCAGATCTCAGCCTCCTAAGTAGCTAGGATTACAAGAAAGAGCCACCAATGTCCAGCAACTACAGAGTTTTGACAACTTTAAGATTCTTCCATCAGACTGGGTAAGACTTTTCAGAGATTTGATGATGAAACGAAATGCCTCATAAACATTAAGCTGATCTTTAACCAAACATTAGGAAAAGCAAGAATTAATTAAGTACAAAGGAAAAGATTTTCAGATTGTCATGCTAAGTCAACTACCACTGACTTTGTTAAGATATTCAGTCAGGGACCAGTAGCTCATGACTATAATTCTAGCTACGACTACTAAGGAGATTTGAGATCTGAGAATAGTGGTTTGAAGCCAGCCAAGGGAAGGAAAGCCTATGAGATATTTATCTCCAAATAACCAGCAAAGAAAAGGAAGAAGGAAGGAAGGAAGGAAGAAATAGAGAGAGAGAGAGAGAGAGAGAGAGAAAAGAAAAGAAAGAAAGAATCAACGAGTAGAGCTGTATCTCAAGTAGTAGAGCACTAGCTTGAACACTAAACACAAAAGCTCAGGGACAGTGACCAGGCCTTGAGTTCAAGCCCCAGTAATAGCATAAAAACAACAACAACAACAAAAAGTGGGGATTACTTAGTAAACTAAACTTTTATAATATCACTTTAAATCCAGAAGCAGTAAGGTTCATTCCACTAAATGAGGTTACGCATCATGAAGTGGAAAGTGTGGTATAGGGGATGATTTAAAAAGTAATTTTCTCCTGGATGTTGCTCAGGAGGTATACAGATTTATAGACAAATTTGACTTCTGCATTAGGGCCACCAGCTGGAGGTCTCGTCCAGCCCTCAGTTCAGCCTTCTGGCCTGGTCAAATATTACTCTTTGCCTGGCTGTCTCCTTCCTCTGTATCTTTACCCTGACCATGCACTTCTTGTACTCAGAGAGTAAAGCTGTCAACATAAAAAATGTGCACTCTCTCTGCAGGAGATGAAGGTAAGTTTCAGGGAGGAACATTGTTCATAGGGTTCTTAGTCACTGGCTCTTGGCAGCAGCTCAGTGCCACACTCACATGGAATTCAAAGCTAACCTCTATGTTGGAGAACACTTTGGATGTGGTGGTTAAGCAGACCTCCCTAGGGCTCAAAGAGTAGGAGCCATACTCTAAAAGGCAAGAGAAAACAAGGATGTTTCACAATACCGTGGAGGAACAGCACTCAGCTTTACAGCTCCTCCTTGCCTGTGTGGGCTCATGTGAGGGGCTGAAGAATACTGAGTGCTTAACTTTCCAATGTGGTCAAAGAGGTCAAAGGAGGAGTTGAACAGGTGGCTGACAGGCTGGGGTGTAGTTCAATGGGCAGACACATACTTAGTATATACAGTAGGCCCTGGATTCCAACCCAAGCACACACAGAGGAAAAGATGGCTGATGACTCTTGTTTCTTTTCCTTATTTTTTTTTTTTTGATTCCGGGGCTTGAACTTGGGCCTGGGCACTATCCCTGCACTCTTCAGCTCAAGGCCAGTGCTCTACAGCTTGAGCCAAAGTGCGACTTCCATGACTCTTGTTTTTTAAGACACTACCACCCCATCCACTGCAGAGACTCCTCAGAGGAGAAGAACACACCCATGCCTGTGAGCTGCTGACTGGTGGTTAGAAGGCATCTGGAATGGTAGACAGCAAGGTTTTTTACTCCTCTTCATCTAGATTTCCAATCTTCCTTTAATGAGTCTCCAGGTCCCTGTGACTGGTGTTACTGGGCTAATTACAAAAATGGTTGACTTCTTCTTTTCCTTGTTGGTGCTGGTACTGGGGAATTGAACGCAGAGCATAGGGGCTGATCCTTAACTTTTCTGCTCAATGTTGAAGATCTACTACTTAGGCCACAGCTCTTGGAGATAAGAATCTCTCAGATTTGTCTGTTCCAGCTGGCTTTGAACCACAATCTTCAGATCCCTACCTCTGAATAGGCAGAAATACAGGCATGAGCCATTTGGTCTGGCTTCGATTACATTTTTTTTCATGTCAGGCAGTTTCAAATACAATTATGAGCTTTAATCATATCATTCTCTGAACAAAAATAATGACCACTAGTGCTTGAATACTGTTCTACTTTCTTTATTAAGGGGATATTAGATCATTTCATTTTAGTCAGTTTGTTCATAGAGATACTTGTTATAAAGAGTAATTTGGCTTCTGGATATATCTTCCTGACAGTCATAATAATAAACTCCCTGATATATTCCCTCATGAGTCATGAATGTCCTAAGCAGCCATTCCTGTTCATCAAATGATCAACAGAAACATGAAGCAAGCATAAGGAATCATAAAGCAACTCTGTCGTTGTAAATTGTAAATTCCAGGCGCTAGCCAGTGGTGACTCATAACTGTAATCAGAGATAGTCAGAGATGCTGAGACCCAGAAGCTCAAGGTTTGAAGCCAGCCTGGGCAGAGAAATCCAGGACCCTTATCTCTAATTAATCAGCAAATTGCTGCATTGGAGATGTGGCTCAGGTGGTAGAGCACATGAGCAAAAACACCAGGGAGGAGTTTAATGCCCTGAGTTCAAGCTCTAGTACCAGCATAAACAAGAACAACAATAAATAGCAAATTCCATAATTAAGCCAAGCTGGCCATGGTCATGTGGTGACAGAAATTGCTGCCAGGGCTCAAGGTTTCAGTCACTTGAACTTTCTATCAACATTCTTGTCAATTTCCATTAACATGAACAGCTAACAAAAGAGGGAATTGTTAAATTTGACCTACAGCTGCCTGTGTATACAGGGATCTGTAACCACCTTAAAATATGATCAAACTTGGACCAGAGAGAATGTTAGCAGATCAAGTAGCTGTGCAGTCCAAAGTGCAGCCCATCCCAGCCTGCAAGGTGCCAGAAATGTGCAAAAGAGGCAAATTCACTAAAACCAGCAATTCATTCCCATGTCACTCTCTTGCTCTGCCAATAGACATCACCTGCACAGGCTCCCTGACGGAGCTTGGCAAACAGTTGCTGTTCAGGTGTTTCCCAACACCTAAATCCTCAAACATTTCTTTGTGCAAAGAACGTGATTTTAAAAATGACTTGATTAGGGCTGGGAAGGTGGCTCAGTGGTAGAGCGCTTGCCTTGCATTCATGAGGCCCTGGGTTCGACTCTTCCGCACCACATAAGCCAAAAGAAAAAAAGCCTGAAGTGGCGCTGTGTCTCAAGTGGTAGAGCACTATTCTTAAGCTGAAGAGCTGAGGACAACTCCAGACCCAGAGTTCAGGCCCCAAGACTGGACCCCACCCTTCAAAAAAATTGACTTGCTTAACTTTATAATGGAGGTTAGCAAAAACTAAGGGTTACAGTTGCCTTTCAGGGCTATTTCCTTGAACCCTTTAAGAAAAATGGTTTCCCGTTGTCTACTTTTCGAGAATACTTGGCTGTAACTGCACTGCTGCTCCAAAGGCAAGCCACCCCGACCCCCGAGCCCTTACCCAGCTCAACAAGAACAGGCACAACTAAGGACCAGGACCAGTACACAGGTGCACAGCAAGCACTTAGTACACTACAAAGTTAGGGCCTTGGCTGTATTCAAATCACTCCATGTCTTCTTAAGATTTACAAGTGTGGGGCACAGTGAGTGGGAACTCACCAATCACCAGCAGTGACTTCTTCCTTAGACCTTCTCCCTCCCTGCAATGACAAAGCTTTGCAGCAATCCTGCCTCTGAGTCTCTGAAATGCTTAAGTGACCAGGAGTGACTTGCAGGGGTTCATCTTCCCACACCCCCAGATCGCAATTGTCAAAGGCAGAAATGGAAGCTACCCAAGGCAGTGGCAAAAGGTGTACATCACCTTAACTATACTCCACTATTTTTATATTTCTTATAAGAAAAACTGAAGGGTTGATTAGAATTAGGGCAGAGTAGAAGACAGGTGCCTAACTTTACCACTGAGCCAGACACAGAATCTGGAAATGTCATTTTCCTCTTGATTTCCATTCTGTCTGCAAAGTTAAGCAGCCAGACCTTACAAAAAGAGGAAACCCCAGAAAAGCACTTTTCTCTGTAACAATTTGGGCAGGGGCTAGAGATCCAAGAAACCTCTCTTGTGTCTGGGCCAGGACCTAAAGTAGTCTTACAAAAGTTTAAGACAGTTGAAACACATAGTAGGACACTCAATTTCATACTCCACCCTCCACGATTGGCATTGTACCCCAAGGTTGGACGAGGACACTGAGGCCAAGCAGATGAGTGGTTACTCAGTGCTCAAGTAGGGAGAAGCAGGACTCCAGGGGGAGAGCACAGCCCTGCAGGACCCCTGCTAGAACCCAGCCTGGGCGCAGCCCAGCTCTCACCATCCCCAGGAAGGCCAGACACAGGATCACGGTGGTGAACCAGCGCAGCATGCTCCCTGCACGGCCACTCGGCCTCCGGGACACCGCCACTGCCACGGGCTCTTTCTGGGCAGGGGCCTGGGCCTGGAGGAGCCGCTGCCCGGCAGCCCCCGGCCCACCGAGGTCGGCTTCCAGCTCCAGCCTGGCGGCCTTTTGCTGCCTGGGGATCCCGGGCTCTGAGCACTGGTCCCTCCAGCCGCAGAGGCCTCTGGGTGCCACCTCCCCACATGGACGGTCCTAGGTCAGGGCCCGGGAGTTGAGACTTAGGACTGCGCACGTCTTGCAGGCTGCAGACACGCTCTGCTCCACTTGGCACAGGTCCTACAGATGGTGGTTGGCCTTTCCTCATCCAGGGCCTGTCTCCAAGGGTGAGGAAACTCAGTTGCCTGCAGCATCTCTCCTAGGGGAGTCCACAGAGACCCGCGGGCGGGCGCCGCCACGTGGTGGTAACTGTAAATGCAGCCTCGGAACAGCTGCAACCTCTGGGCTGACACCCTCTGCCCCACGGTTCTGGGGTCTCTAAGCCCACCACAAGAGGACCCTGCCAGAGCTCCGCCTGCGCCTCTCAGCGTCACCAGAGGCCTCCTGGGCGCAGCTCCCTCTGCGGACTCTCCACCGTGCTGGGATGGACCAAGGGTCTCTGCATGCAGCCCATGCTCACCGCAGCCAATTCCAAGATTTGACAGGCAGCAGAGAAACAGCTGGGGCCAAGTCGCAAGCAGGAGTTAGTGTGCATTTGTGGAGTAGTTCAGCATTTCCTCCTCTCCCTGTGGCTAGATGGACACAGTAAAATTCCATATGAAATGAAAAGTACCCAAATATCAGCCAAGGATGTCCCAGGAGACCACCAAATTCCGGCCAGTTCTCCAAGGAGTTCCAAACGCTAGTGAGGTAGTACAAGTTGCAGGCTGTAGCAGAAAATGATGAGAAGCTTTACTTTTGCAATGTTCTACCACTAAGCTATTCACATGTAGACCAAGACCCTTAATCCGCAAGAGCAGGAGATATTGATTTGAGTAACATTCATTTAAACTACAGGTTGTAAAGACAACACATAGTGTGCTTGTCCTCACAATGAAGCCGTTCTTGCAGTTGGTGATCCTAAAGCAAGTGAGTGTGAAAATGCCATTCACCAAAATGGACAGGTGTGCAGCAATGAATGCGCTGAGAGAACACGAGGTGTGATAGGTTGGGAAAGACCTAGATTGTGTGGTGAGTCAGCCACCACTTCCAACCCCATGACAAGATCACGTCCAGCACTGCAAAGATCCATCCATATTGTCACTAAAGCTACCAAAGTCAGAGAACACTATTAAAGGGACAGCTTTATTAGTCCACAGATAATCAGCTAATAGAAATGGAAATTTTAGAAATGGAGGACCAACAATGGGGTACAAGAGAAATCATCAACATGGCTACAAAAATGAGGCAGATGACTCAACAAGACAGATATGGGGGAGAGGGGGTTCAGCACACACATGAGCCCTTCACAGAAGGGTGGGCAACTCAGCAAGATGCTTGAGAGATAAAAGGACCAATCAGGAGCCTCATGCAGCATAAGTCCACCCCTCGACCAATCAGACAGGAGCCCTCCCTCAGATGGTAGGAGGTAAAGGACTCTGCATATAATAGCATCCAGAGAGACTGGGCATTCTAGGTTCTAGGATCCTTCCTTTTACAAGGACTTCATTTTGCCATTTCATTCACTTATTCTTTGTGGTTGTTATTGTTGTTGTTGTTTTGCTTTCAAAAACACCTGCTCCTCATTCTTTAAACACATTCCTGCTCTTTAATATTTTAATTGGAAGAGAAAACAAACTAGAATCCTAGACAGCATCAAACCTTTGACACTATTTGTTCCTCCCAGAATCCTGTGTTTGGGTTTCCTGGTGTCTATCTGCCAAGACACTCAGAGGCTGCCGCAGCCATGGTCCAAATGTTCCAGGTGTAGCTCCATGACAATACGGCTCAACAGACACAGCACTGTCCTCAGGATGCTGATTCTGCAGACATTCACAGTGAAAGAGTTGTGGGGCATTCAGAGGCTTCCACCCAGATTTCACATAAAAGCCTGGAAGGTCCAATGGCATGCAGCAGGCTCAGAGTGTCTGCAAGCAG